TTTTCCCTTAGCCAAATGACACATTTGCATTTACATAAGAATGATTCACGGTTTGACCTTTAATGATTGTTAAAAAAGGTTGTTTGATTTGCTGAGCATGTGTAGGTTGATAGCATTGTGATCATTCTTGCTTTGTGATGAAAGTGGCTAAGTGTTTAAAGTATTATTCCATCAAACGCATTCTAGAATTAAGAGAATGGACTATAATATGGAAGCCACCAAACTTTGTGATGATGTCATCCTATATTCCAAACTTTATCTTATTTCTTGCTTATCCAAAAAGGGCGATATGCCCAAGCTTGTAAATACTTTTATTTTCTTTAATCAAGTTTGTATTTTTATGGTTTAATCTTGGCTTCTGATCTTTGATTTAGCACCCTGGTAGTTTAGTTTTCATTATCTTGCATTTAATCTCATATGTGGGCTTACTTCAATGTTCTTAATTGGTGATTAGTCCTTATATGGTTCAAAAGATTGATAGGATGATCTGAATTCTTGCTTGAGTGAGAGATGTTTACTTGACTAGTTCATCTTTTAGGCTCTATGGTTCTGCTCTTTATGCTCATGATTAGAGAATACACCATCAAAAGTGGGTTTGACACTGTAGTCTTGTTGAATTTGGTTTGCCTATTAACCACTAGGATGATCTTTCCGTAGATACCTTGTCTAGGATTACAGCATTAAGAATTACTTGCTTATGAATGGTTGGTGTTTGTCTTTGTTTAGAAATCCCCTTAGTCACTTTTGAAAACCACTTGACCATTACTTCTTAGGATCTTAGATCTTGCTTTTTATTAATTATCTTAAAACCGTTTTGCTTCGTTCCTTTTGCTTGCTTAATTTCAGTAATCATCTTGTTTAGTTTCATCTTGCTTAGTCCTTATTTACTTGCATTTCAGTTCTGTTTTCTCTTTATTGCATTGCTAGGTTGTTAGAGTTACTCTTGCATAATCAAACCCCATATTGCTTAGCTTATAACATTGTTTGCATTTCACATCCACAAGTGTGTTTGACACCTGATCTCTATACTACAACTGATTAGAGACCTAAGAACATTAAGTGCCTAAAAAACCTTTGTTTCAATACTTGGTCGAAGGGCAGCTTTTAGAAGATATTTCCTAAGCCCATTTGCAGCCTAACTCATTTCCCGAGCCGTCAAACGCAAGTATGACCTAAAAAGGACGACCTAGAAGACTCAAAACCTCCAAATACTTAGCTTTAGGGTTTTGCAAACAGACAACTTCATCAGAAACGAAATTCAGTTAAGGTTTTAGCAGCCACCAAGTTTTATGCTTTCTTCTTTGTATTCTAAGGCAGAGAGAGATTTGTCTCTTGAAACCTCTATTCTTTAGTTTGATCTATCAAAACTTACACTTCAAGTGTGAGTAGCATTGTTTTAATTTTCTTTAATCATGTGTGAGTAGTTTATTTTCGTTAGGGACTTCCAATTAGTTTTAGGGGAATTTCATTAACCATTACTACTCATTCTATTTTTTTAGTTTTGGTCTTAGGATTGTCTTTGGTCGAGCTTGTTTTAATATAGGTTTTAACGTCCTGAACTAGAATCTATCATCTTAGGATATTAAGATCCATTAATCATGTGTTTTATAATCCTGATCTAATTTAGACAAGCGAGAAGCGTAAAGACCTAACCGCATAACTTGCAAGCTTCGTGAGCTATATAACGAATCTGAAACTGTATATTTTTTTTAGTTCATAGGATGCGAGCTGCATACATGTGGGGTTATATAAACATAGACGATCCATATTACAAACGTATTTTGATTATGAAATAGAATGATATCTAGTTTGAAAAAATCTGATTAAGTTCTCATCACTGCTACCGTCTAGAGTTTCATGCTAACTTACAACCCCTAAAAATTCCAGGAAGGATTTCCAACATTTTTCTCCTATTGATTTACCACACTTTTGCTTACTTTATGTCTTTTAGTTACGCAGTTTCGATAATTTACTTTTCTATCTTTTCTTTTTTGTCAATTTACTTTTTCTGTTCTATATAGGTTTAGACGAAAGTCAGACCTATATAAATGATTGTTTTGTCTTTCTTTTCAGATAAAAAATATGACACAACCCCAAAACCAAAAACCCCTATATTTTTGGTTGCTCTAACTCTTCTTTGTTCTGCAGATGATCTCTCTGTTGTTCAACCCCTAAGTTTTACAACGCACGCAGTGCACTTTCAGCTTAGAGTTATAAATTTAAAACAAATAAAATTCAGGAGAAGTGATCCAAATTTTGGTAGCCAATTATGAACTCTATCACACACGAGCAGAAACCCAACGGATATATTGATGAAAGTGGTTCCGGTAAGCAAGTTTAAGTCTGCCTTGGACTTGCACAGAGTTGCTCAAACTTGATTAAGCCAGTGACACCAGACAATGATGTTCAGTAGGTGATTCCACTAAAGTATCAAGAGTTGAAAGTTGAAGAAGCATGTATTTCTCATCTAAGTTTATCTCAAGATGGATTATGTTGAGGTATGTTCTAAACTTAGATAGGTATATAGTGTATAGTTGTTATTAGGACCCGGGAGGTTAAATTGTTTTATTGGTGCCGTATTATAGCTTGGTTAAGTGATTTAATTATTATTTTGATTAGATCCGGTTATTGTAAACCCTTGATCATATAAAAGGATATAGTTTAGGATAAGGCTAAGATCTGATTCAGCACTTTTGTATTCATTGATTTTTCATTTTTCTTGAAGGCTCGGATTCATTGTGATAGTGAAATTTTTGGCTGAGCCTGGCTCCAGAGTGTAGTGTATCATATCGCTCACAAACTCTAGGTAAACAAAGATTGTTTTTTTCATTTTCATTTGGTTATTGCTTTGGAGTGAATGTGAACTGAGAGTTTGAGAGATATTTCAATTCGAGTTAGATCTGAACGCAATAATTTTCGATATTAAAATCACTCATGCAACCACACAGTGAAATCTTCAAACTCTTATTGTCATCTTTTTTCTTCCCCTTCTAGGAAATTTCTCAATCTTTGTGATATAAAAAACAGAGGATTTGAATCTGTCCTGTCACAATCCACATGTGCATTTGCCTCTACACCATCCAACACACACTTCAATCCTTATAAGAAATTTCTCCGTACGTTCTTCTAAATCTCCACCACTTGATTTTCTTCCATTTATAATTTCTAACACAAAACAAAAGTCCTTTAGTAATAAACACGACCCTACTTTCTTTTTGGCTTAACCGGTATCCATTTAATGTTGATTCTTTTTTTCTACTCACCAAACCTTTTTTTTAACACATGATTATTATATAAGTAAAAATTATTTGATTGATTGATGGGAGAGGTACGGAAGGTCATATATTGAGTACGGTGCCAGTTAATATTGTCCAAATACGAATAGGATATTTTTTTAGAAAGTACATGCATTATAAGCGAAAGAAGCATGAATCTTCATTTATGATTCCATTTGTCTATTTCCTCAGGTGGGGATCACTCATCTTCTTCGTTAGGTAGATAGTTTTATAAGCATGGCCATGCTTAATTGCTTCTTCATCTTCTATCCGGTTTTATATAATTCACTGTAAGCTTAAAACATAACCGAACACAGGTCATCTTCTTCTTGTTCTAGAACTTGTAAATGAAGACCATCCACATTTAAAATTAAGCTTCTAGACACTAAGGTCTTATACCTTTTTTATTTATTATTTGAACAGTTTGAAAAGCATCACATTTGTCAAGATCTTACGTTTTCAAAAAAATGATTATGCTATAATAGCATATTTTGAACGTATTAAAAATATATAGAATTGAAAATATATATTATTAATTTACTAAAACCAACAACTCATGGTATGGTGGTGTAGTGGTCGAAGGATTTGCCATATTATTGAAGGATTGGACTGCGAACCATTTTACTCGTATTTCAAGTTTGGTTAGCAATTATGGACGCTTTAAGGACTACAATAATCTGGTTTTTATTGTTACCGGAAATTAGTCTAGGGTTCCATCTAAATTTTACATGATTAACAAAAATAAAATTTTAGAAAATTATACTCTGTATTTTTTTAGTTGATGTTTTAAAACTGTGCACACAAATTTAAACTATACAATATTCATTACAACCTTTCTTCATAATGTATAATTTTAATTTATTAGTTAATATAAGGGTTAAAAGTTATTTATTGTTAATTTTGTATATATTGATTTGTGAAATTGTCATTTATTTTCAAACAAAGAAAGGTTTAAAACATCACCTATTAAGAAAATCAAAGAAGTAATGAACTCAAATATTCGTGCTAGTAGATCATTCGAGTATTCTGTTACCTACGACCAATCAATCAAGTTTTCAAAAAATCAACATCTTTGATTTATTGAATGTGATGGCATTGCCGTGAAACAATTGAATGTGATGGCATTGCATTTATCTTGAAAATTACAGTATTTATTAGTTACAGAAAAATAACACTTGGTATTTTTAAATATAGAAACTTTTTCATTCGTAAAATAATTTGCAAGATAAATGAATACACTGGCGTTAACATTATACAATTAGCAAATAAATTTTCTCTAAGAAACTTAAGATTGTGTTTTACTTAAAAAATATATATATACACACAGAATGGAAGTTTAAACTTTTCTTTGCATTTTTCAACGAACAAATTGGTTGATTCGTTTTATGGTATCTTGAGAAACCACCTGCCTAATTATATTATAGGAAAACAAAAACAAAGATGTCTGGCCAGAACGTGAATACGAATTCTAGTGTCTTATAACTGCAGATTAGTTTTGTCTAGAAAGACTGTAGATTACTCTAAGGTTTGGCGATTTTACTATCATCTATGTGTACCATATTGAATAGTTTAGCAGTACAGTGCTGTTTGACAAAGGAATCTGAATTTAATTAACTATAATTGATTTAGTAGTAAAAGATCTTTTTTTACACAGAGAATTTACGTGTGGAAGACGGGGACACAAAGAAGTAGTTAACGCGGTTTTAAAAGACCATTAAGACAGAGATGCACCAGCTGTTTTCTCCTCTTGGTAATAAACATGACTTCAGCTACTTTAACGTTTAAGTTTCTTAATTGTTTATAAGTATATAACTTATCATCATGTGATTTTTTTAGAATCTCATTTATCGAAATAATTTGCTTGTTAAATTATTCTTATGATTAACTTTGTCTTTTGTTTGTACTTAGAAAATCACATGCTCTTAGCTTTTAGAAGTTGCCTCTGAAAAACAGAATCCAATGTATCTAGCTCCTATATTGTTTAACAAATTCTGTCGTTTCTTGAAATAGATATTGATTTATATATTGGGAGTGTTTTGGTTTTGGTAATTAGCTTTACCAGGGTTCAAGATTGAGAAGTAGTAACTAAGTGGTAACAAATAGTGTAACTAAAGAGTTTTGAAGGTCAATCAATAAATATACATTGTTGAATAAAAAAAGCTAAGGAGGATTCTCTTATTATTGATCTGTGATTGGGTATTGCATATGGGATTGTGATTAAGGTTAAATCATTTTATAATATAATTTAAAAATACTTGTCTCTCACAATTATTTAAATGAAAAGTATTTATATCTTTGTGTGTGCCCCATGCTACTTTCTTTGACTATGTTCATAGTATTTTTCTTTTATATATATTCTCTTTTCCACTTTTGTTCTTTCATATCTCTTCTATAAATAGAAATCAACCATTCTTCTCTTCCAACTTCCTCCTCTCTTTACAATACCCTTAAGTTAGTATCAATGGTGAAAAATCTTCAAAAGGTGACAAAGAGAATGTCATCTCCATCCTCATCATTATCTTCGTCTTCATCATCAACATCATCCATAAGCAAGACTAGCATGAAGAAGTACAAAGGAGTGAGAATGAGAAGTTGGGGTTCATGGGTTTCAGAGATCAGAGCTCCTAATCAAAAGACAAGGATCTGGCTCGGTTCCTACTCAACCGCTGAAGCAGCAGCTCGAGCCTATGACGCAGCACTTCTCTGTCTCAAAGGATCTTCAGCTAATAATCTCAACTTCCCAGAGATCTCATCTTCTCTCTACACTACCAACAATGATGATAACAACAACATTATTAACATGTCTCCTAAGACCATACAGAGAGTAGCAGCCGCTGCTGCCAACACGGATCCTTCTTTCTCCTCTGTCTCTATTTCATCTCCATTGCTTTCCTCATCTCCATCTGAAGATCTCTATGATGTTATCTCCATGTCTCAGTATGACCAACAAGTAGTTTCCTTGTCTGAATCATCATGGTACAATTGTTTTGACGGGGATGATCAGTTCATGTTGCCGTATTTGACAACACCACCTGCTGATGATTTCTTTGAGGAAGGAGATATCAGACTATGGAATTTCTGTTGATTCTGCTTAATTAATTTGATCATCCCATATTTTATACAGCCATCAAAACCAAATATATTTCTTTGTTTCTATATATAGACTTCAGTTATGTAACCCATACATTGTGTTATACAATTTATTTTTCCGTTTTCTTTTATAGATTCTCACATTCTAAAATACGTTGTTGGCAAACATACCTGTTGTAGAGAAACTATATGTAGTCACAATGTATCTTTTGGGGATCTCTGTACCAAAATCAAAGTTACTTTTTAAACTAGATATCGTTAATTGATTAATCTAGATAGCAGTGGTTTAAGTATGCATATAATGGTAAAAGGATTTCTAGCTTAAAATGATAACATGTTAAAAGGTTCAATAAAAATAAAAATAAAAACCAGAGAAGTGGTCTTGATTAAATTCTGCAATTTAAATGTTAATGTTTATAATTGTTATTTGAGATTTCATTTTATTAAATTAAAGAATGGTGCAAAATCTGGCGTTAGTGTGTAGACGATACAAAAAAAAGTTGTAGTAAAATAAGTCAAATGCTTTTTTTCTTCTTTTGTTGTAATGCATTCATCAATCACGAAAAAACCTTGACATAGATCTTTTTTAATTTTCGGTTTAAGAGATGACTACTACTATAACGGTTAAAAAAAAGATGACTATTAGAATACAAATTATTAGCATGTCAATCAGATCACTGATTACACAATCTACGGATTTACATATGTATATAATATATTTTCAATAACTATCATTAACTCTTTTCAGATACCCTAGCATTGTATATATATATACTCTGTTCCAGTATAATGAGAAATCACTTCCACAATATTCTATATGGTATCAAGAGCCAACGATTCATAACCAAAATTTTTTCTTCTCTTTCATAAACACTATGTCTTCCGACAATACCTCACCTGCCACAATAACAGAAATGATCTCAACAAATACCCAACCTCTTTTTACTATCAATATGACCAGTGTTACCAAACTCACATCCACAAATTACCTGATGTGGAAACTTCAGGTTCATTCACTCTTAGATGGATATGATCTTGCCGGCTTTGTCGACGGATCCACACTCGTGCCACCCACCACTCTCACAAATGGCGATGAGATCTCTGTCAATCCAGCATACACCCTCTGGAAGCGCCAAAACAAACTCATTTTTAGCTCCTTTATTGGTGCTATCTCTCCGTCTCTCCAGCCCCTAGTGTCCAGATCTCTCACTTCCTCTGACGTTCGGAGTACTCTGGCTCTCACATATGTCAAGCCAAGCCATGGTCATGTTAAACAACACAAAGTGGCAAAAACACTCGTCGCAGATAGGAAATCAGCATCAAAATCAATACAAAGGTCCTCGACCATACCTTGGTTGATGCCAGATTTGTGGGATCCAGGGGCACAGTGCAAAGAGATGCTCTCAGTTAAAGCCTGTAACAACACTAATGGCAGCTTCACCAACACTGTCCCTTCACTCGTGTACACGCCTTTCCGATCCAACAGAGTATTGAAGTGTCTTAGGGAGTTTACAGTATCTTGCCTTCACAAGACCGGACTTGTCTTACGCTGTAAATAGACTTTCTCAATATATGCATGCTCCAACTTCAGAACACTGGCAGGCCGTGAAGCGATTACTTCGCTATCTAGTTGGGACATCGGGACATGGCATTTTCTTACGCAAAGGCAACATCAATAGCCTTCACGCATACTCCGATGCCGATTGGGCTGGAGATCGTGACGACTATGTCTCCACAAATGGGTATATTGTTTATCTTGGTTCGAATCCTTTGTCATGGTCGTCTAAAAAGCAACAAGGCATTGCGAGATCTTCGACAGAAGCGGAGTACAGGTCAGTGGCAAATACAGCAGCTGAGGCGAAATGGCTATGCTCATTGTTTGGTGAATTGGGAATAACAGTCAACCAACCTCCGACTATATACTGTGACAATGTAGGAGCTACCTATCTATGTGCAAATCCAGTATTTTATTCTCGGATGAAACACATTGCATTGGATTATCACTTCATCATAAATCAAGTTCAACAAGGTGCTCTACGAGTTGTCCATGTATCTACGAAAGATCAGTTAGCAGATGTGCTCACAAAACCTCTCTCTCGTGCTGCTTTTCAGAACTTCTCAAACAAGATTGGCGTCACTAACATGCCTCCATCTTGAGGGGGCGTATTAGCATGTCAATCAGATCACTGATTACACAATCTACGGATTTACATATGTACATAATATATTCTCAATAACTGTCATTAACTCTCTCCCGATACCCTAGCATTGTATCTGTATATATATTCTATTCCAGTATAATGAGAAATCACTTCTATAATATTCTATACAAATTACAGTTGTAACTGGACATTTTACAAAGTCAAAGAGTAAGTAGCAAGTTTCATGAGGCTTCTCGTAGAAGTCGATCGGTAACCCTACTTAATTACTTTCAAGTAAAATAGGTATGGATATTCGTTACACTTTCAATATAAAAAAAACTTATATATAATTAAGGAAAAAAAAGGAGAAGAGACAAGAGATGCAGAAAGGGTTGTGACCTGACTTGTGAGTGAGAATTGGTAAAACCTAAGAGAAAAGATTGACGTGAAAAACTGTGTTATTTTGCTTAGATTCTCGCAAAAGACATCGAATTAACTCCAACATTGGTCTGAATAAAAATCTAACAGTAGATTTGAGCAGAAAGCCACATGACTTGTTTTTGGTTTCTTGTTGTGTGTGTGTCTAATGTCTTCATGATCCATCTACTGAGATGGGGTCCCATGATTTCCTCATTTTTCTATTTACTCAGAGCATCTCCAGGGGTGAAGTTGTTTTTTTACAGTCTCTTCCATATATAAAAATAATATAACTTATATATTTAACTAAAATTTAAAATTTAAAAGAAAGAAAAAGGAAGAAACGAATAATAACTTGACATTTGTAACATACGTCTCCTAAAAATTTATAAAAGTTGTACTTTAATAAACGTATGCAATTTCTCTTTCTTACTTTTCCTTTTTTTTTCAATTTTTTATTTTTAAAAAACCCTCCTAATATACCCCGATGGAGGTGGTCTCACTCGTTCACAAACATTGTACAGTATTTCTATTTTTCACCATATATTTTAATTATGTTATTATGGGATCATTTGTGTCAAAAAAAAATATAGTCGTCCAGTAGTATACCCATCAAATTTTTTACTACGTTTAAAGTGAACTAGGTATTTACCCACGCTAAGCTGTAGGATATTTTTCTAAATTTTGTATATATTTTTGATATAATAAAATTATTTTTATAATATAAATGAGTATTGTATTTATTTTTTATCAGCTAAAGTTATGTATTTATATGTTTTAAACCTGATAAATATTGTATATTCTTTATTTTTCAAAATTATAATTTGCTATTAAATTTGTTTACCTAACTAATTATAAATGTATATGTAAAAATAAAACAATACATTTTTAGTACATTTATGCTAATGGTAAATATAATCTATTTTCTCCAATAAGTTGCCACTTCATCCTCCTTTGTAATTATATAAAGAAAAGTGTCATTTTTTTAGAAAACAATATTAAATAATGATTATTGTAAATTATAAAATTTATTTATTTATCAAATATTTATTACTACCAAACTATAATCAAAAACATTCATATCAAAATCATTGCTATTACTTTAGAACTAAACAGAAATTTCTGTTTGAACTCTTGAAATAACGTTTTAGTTAAAGTTAAATAATTAAATTTTGGTTATTATAACATACTTTAATTTGGAAATTTAGCATAGATAAATTTCATTTTCTTACAAAAACCGAGAAATCGTATTTTTTGTCAAAACTAAAATTTTTTTTATTATCCCATGAAACTCAGAAATCGCCTATTCCCGCCAAAACCAAAAAAATAATTATTTTCTCGTCAAACTTAAAACCTAAAATTTTATTTTTCCGCAAAAACTTGCGTTTTCCGCCAAAACCGAGAAATCACGTTTTTTCACTAAAACCAAAAAATTTCATTTTCCTGCAAGAAACAAAAAAAATCAAATTTTCCTGTCAAAACCAAAATATTTTCCTGAAAAAACCGAGAAATTGTCTATTTTCGCCAAAACCAAAAAATTCATTTTCTCGTCAAACCAAGAATCACGCTTTCCTACCAAAACAGATAAATTACAATTTCCCGCAAAAACCAAAAATTGCATTATCTCCCGAGAAATTGTGTTTTCCCACGAAAACTAAGAAATTGTATTTTTTGCGAAAACTAAGAAATTGTATTTTCTCGCGAAAGGCAAAAAATCATATTATTCGTCAAAAACTGAAAATTTGCATTTCCCATCTAAATCGAGAAATTGCTTATTCCCGCCAAAACCTAGAAATTTTGTTTTCCCATCAAACCGAGAAATTGCATTTTCTGCCAAAATCATTAAATTGCAGTTTTCCGTGAAAACTAATAAATCACATTTTTGCGTGAAAACCAAGAAATCTGTCAAAAGCCAAAAATTTGCATTTCTTATAAAAACTAAGAAATCACATTTTTCGTCAAAATTTAAAAGTTGCAATCCGCATCAAAACTGAAAATCGCATTTTTCCGTCAAAACTAAGATATTTTTTCCCCCGTCAAAATCAATTTTTTTTTTGTTTTCTCACCAAAACCAAGAATTCACATTTTCTTGCCAAACCTGAGAATTTGATTTTTCCGCCATAACCGAGAAATTATGTTTTGCTACCAAAACTGAAAATCACATTTTCCTACCGAAATCAAGAAATCTCCTACTCCCGGCAAAACAGAGAAATTTCTTGTTCCCACCAAAGCCAAGAAAATTTGTTTTCTCGTCGAAGCATGGTTGATGCGGAGCCTACACTTTTTCAATCATATACGTCTATGTCAAATAAACAGATAACTATAATTTTTTATTATAATTTATTTATTGTTATTAATTATTTGGGTTTGGCAAAAAATAAAAAAAAATTTAAATTTTTTATTTGTTGTTATTTATTATTTGGGCTTGAGTTTGGTAAAAAATAAAATAAAGAATTTTTTTATTTGCTGTTATTAATTATTTGGGTTTGTGTTTGGTAAAAAATAAAATAAAGATTAATAGAAAAAGTATTTGAGTTTTTAAAGGGTTTAAGTTTAAAATTTAAAAATAAGTAGATGAGTTGTATTAATAAAATGTTTTGATTAGTGATTATTTTTGCTGAAGTGTCATGTTTATAAAGTTTCAAAAAGCTGATGTGTCAAGCTATGGAGAGACATGAGTGTTATTGTTGTGTTGATTAAAATTTTGGTTGATAAGATAAAAGTTATTTTAGTAACACTTTGAGAATATTCAGTTAAACATATATAGTTAAAAAAAGACTGCCAACAAAAAATATTAACCTACTGAATAACAATTAAAATAAACTCATCAATTAGATAATTGTAATATACATATAGGTTATGTTAAATTATATGATAATATGGTGTTAGAAAGAGGAAAAAATATTGAATTGTGCAAAATTTAGAAATAGTGACACGTTGTTAAACAAATTAACATGATTTTGATAAAAATATTTATATTATTGAAAATTTAAGTGAACCAGTGTAACTATTGACGAACTGTTGCAACTCTTTAAATAAATATTTGTAATTATTTAAATGAATTATTATAATTATTGGGTTTATGTTTACAACTTTCTGTGACTAATTATTATAACTGTTGAGTTTATGATTACAATTTTTGGTGATTAACCATTGCAACTATTGGTAATCAACTATTGCAACATGATCGATCAATCATTGTAGTATTTTAAAGTAACTTTTGGTTTCCTATAAAAAGAGTTGTGGCATTGCCAAAATCATAACAACAAACAGAAAAAGAGAGAATAAGAAAAAAAAAAAGAAGAGATTTTCACTATTCCAAAAGTTCATAAAAGAACATTGGAAAAACACTTATCAACACTAGAATTTTAGTGTGTCTCTTGTATGATTATCTTATCCTACAAGGAATTTTGTGTAACCTTAGGCTTGATGAAAGTTGAAATACTCTTTAAAGAAAGTGTCCTCGTGCGCGATATAGTCATTATCCAAGTTTAATTAATCATTCAGGTTACCAAAACCCAACAATGTTAAAGAGTATTTTCTTGTGAACTATGACTAGTGTATATATGCTAGAGATGACATTCAAGTTTGGAAAACTAGATAAGTTTGAGAGAGCAGATTTTTGAGGGTGGCAAAAGAAATTGCATTTTCTCCTCACAACACTTAACGTAGTGTATGTTCTAAGCATGCGAATATCTATTGTGGCATAGGATGCTTAGTACGAGTTTGTGGAGAAGACAAGGAAGCAACTTAAATGGGAACACGGTGATTACATATGTTGTGGCCACATTCTAAACGATATATCAGATCCACTCTTTGGTGTTTATCAGAATGTTGAATACACAAAATAGTGTTGGAATGCGTTAGAATCAATGTACATGGCAGAGGATGCTACTAGTAAGATGTTCCTTGTGAATAATTATAATAATTACAAGATGTCGCAATACAATGAATTGCTTCACATCCTAGGGCAATTCACCCAACACAACGTGAAGATGGACAAATCCATCTCTATGTCGAGTATCATCGACAAGTTACCATATTCATGAAAGGATTTTAAACACATGTTGAAACACAAAAAGAAGAGTTGTCACTGTACAACTTATCAGCCATTTGCGCATAGACGAATCTCTAAGAGCGCAAGAGGGAGAAAATCCCAAAGTGGCTGGATATTCTTTCATAAATATGATGGAGGACATGGGAGTTCTAAGATGAATAAAAAAAGGAATAAACACCCCTTTAATAACAACACTATCTATGGATAAAAGACTTAAGAGATTTGTTGGGATCGGAATAAGCGACGTCATTATCGGCAGGAAAGGATATGAATACAACGCGATGAAACATCTATATCTTCTAACGTGTCACCAATATTTTATAGGAGCAAGCGAGGGAGGATTGAAAAATATTTCAGTCCTGGTTTTTAGATTTATTTAGTTGAATGGTCAAGAAATAAGATTGGATTCCAATACTCATACTGCTATCATATTGATAATGATCCTATGACTTATGGTGAGGATGAAGTCTGAAGATGTTGCATTTTGAAAAGAAGCAATAAATTATAAGATGGACTCAATCATGGGAAATAATATGTGGGTCTTATCAGAATTCCCGCCTAGTTGCAAACCTTTGGGCTGCAATTGGATCTTCAAAAAGAAGATGAAAGTCGATGGGATTATTGACAAGTTTACAGCTCGATTGGTTGTCATCACTCTGAGACAAATTCTGCACAAGTTCAAGACCTTCTTCTACTTCTTCCCAAGGAAGTTACCATTGCTTTCTGTGTCTAACAGAACTGACCTTAGGTAACACACTTCTGTAGAGAGTAGATAGCAAAGACTCACTAGAAAAACCATGATAGGAGCATTAAAGAGTGCACCCCTTAAATCTTTCCCAAGCCTCACAGAAACTCTCTTGTGACCCTTGAGTGAAACCTGAGATCAGATTCCTCAACCTAGAAGTCCTGGAATTAGAGAAGAATTTTATCAAGAAGGCTTGCTTACACTGCTCCCAAGATGTGATGAAACCCTGTGGTAAGTTTTTCTCCCACAAGTGTGCCTTGTCACCCAAAGAGAAGGGGAACAACCTGAGCTTGAAACAATTTTCAGAAACTCCATTGATCTTGGTCATGGAATAGATTTTGTCAAACTGATCAAGATGGTCTAGAGGGTCCTCCAAAGGCAGGCCATGAAACTTGTTACCTTGGACCATGGAAATCAAGCTGCTTTTGATCTCAAAGTTGTTATCAGCCAAAGGAGGGATGATAACATGTCTTGTGGCATGAGTGCTGGGTGCATCTCCTGCGCCAATGACTCTAGCTGATCTAGGAGGATGGACATGAGCTTTTCCATTAGCTTCTGGAGCACCAGCCAAGTCTTGAGGTCCTTGAACACCCTGAGCGCCAACCATTCCCTGTGGTCCTTGTGCACCTTGTGCACCAACAGAAGTCTGTGGTATATCCATGTTGATAGCCCTTGTCTTGTTTTTTCTCACAACTCTGTCTATGTTATCCAAAAGTGGAAAGAGTTGGTCTGATCTTTGTGATCGAAAGTACATACACCTGAAAAAGTCAAAGAAAAACCAGTAAGTAACAATGTAAATAAAGAACTTAGTCTCACAAAAAATTAAAAGGGAACAGCGCCAAATTGATACAAGGGTTTTACCCACATGTGACTCAATTACTAAGTCTATAATCATGCCACTGAAGCACTTAAGGCTATCAATCCAATTGAGATGAATTAAAGAGAATGCATGATGTTATGTAATCTAAGCCAAGAAAGAAAGAGTTGTTTATGATTCTAACAATCTAAGTAGTCATCAAACAGTAATAATCAAACCTTAAACAGCAAAGCAAATCAAGTAAAACACAACTTCAAGTCTAAGAAACAGAGTAAGCAGAGCAAAACAGAGATGATCAAATGATTAACAAGAGGGTTCAGGATGGGATAATCAACCTAGAATGATCTTCAGCTTCTAACAAGATGTTCAAACAATCAATGAATGCATGATCTTTTAGCATAGAACTATATACATGTAAATCAATCTATTCTCATAACAACGATTCCTTTGAATGCAAACTAAACAATATATAATTCTCATTAGTGATCAGGAAACAATCAAGCATAAAAAAACAGTCCTAAATAGCCAATAAGCTCCCTAGTCATCAATTCTCATGTGTAAGGATAAGCAAATCCATTAAGAGGTTGGTTCAAGCATTTCAACAAATACTTTTGATGCAGAGAAAGCCTAATTTCGAAAATCAGATTATCAGTAAGATTCAAGCATTAAGAACACCTAATAGTGAATGATCTAATATCATCTACACTTAAACATCAAGTTATAAGCCTTAAATCATCCCAAATCTAACCCATCCTTAAACCCAGAAATTAACTATTCACAATCAATGATTGATCTCTCAAAATCTAGATAGATGGTGAGATAAACCATGATCAAAAGCAATAAGAAGAGAATCAATAACAAGAAGTACAAACTTATATTAAAAACTCAATTATTGCTTACAAAATACCAAAACAGAAAAATTGCTCAGGAACAAGAGAGAGAGAAAGAGAGAGAGAGGCACTACAAAAAAAGTAAATATTGTTACAATTTTTTTTGTCACAATATATAATTTTTCCGTCACAAAAATTATATTGTAACGATAATGTTACAAATTATTAAAGATCACAATAAAAACGTCACAAATCCATTTTAGTCAGAAAAACGTCATACCATGGTGTGACGATCGACAATAGTAACGATTTGTCACCATTTGTAACGATATTAAAACAGTCACAAAACGTTACAGTTTATGACAAAAAAATTATCACATAGATCACAAGTTATGACAAAAGAATTGTCACATATTTGTAACAATTTCTTACTATATTTACGTTACTAATCCATTATAAATTATAATAAACAATAATATCACAAAATTTGCTAATTATTAGGCATTTGTAATGATTATATCGTGATTTTGAAAACAAAAACAAAATAAATAGATGAAATTATTTTATTATATAAAATAAATATTTTGTTAAAAAAAAACAATACACAATTAAATCAATAAAAACAATTGTCATTTTTTAAATATTATTATATTAAAGACCCAAACCGGGAAAGAAATAAAATTTACAAAATTGAAATCAGATCAAACCAACCGGTTTAACCGGGAATAATACCAAAAGAAATTAACCTAATCTATCATCCTCCAGTGCCGACTTCCCACCACACGCAAGCTCCAATCCGATAACTCTCTGGCTTGAACTTCGGAGACAACGGATGCTTGGTACAGCTTCATCGGCGGCGGACTTCGGAGACGACGGATCCTGGCAAAGGAAGCTTTGATGGCTACTCTCCGGCTTGAATTCCTCCTAGATCGACGCTGCCGCCCTCAAAACAGGTACAGATCTGGTCATGAACAAGACGAGTCCTCCACCGCTGCTCCACGCCTCGCATCCGTCCTCCATCCACGTTACAAGATCAGAAAAAAAAAGTTAGATCCAGAGGAAATAAGGTGGAGAAGAAGAGAAGGATGGAGATGAAGGGGAGAAGAAGGAGAAGAAAATACTTACAGTGGATCGACGGCGGTTAGAGGAAATCCAGAAAGATGGATCGATGGCGGTTTTAAGGAGATGCATCAGGCGCGAACTGCAGAAGAAGAGTAGGAAGAGGAAGAGGAAGAGGAAGGAGGGGACAAGGAGAAGCAGAAGCAAAGGAAGGAGAAGATGAGATATGAGATGGAGCGCAGAAGGAGATGACCATAATTAATTTTCCGTCAAAGAAAATAAGGAAGAAAGAGAGAAAAAAAAAAGAATGATTTGTGTGAGTTAGATTTAGTTTTATCAAGGGTTGAGATTAAAAGTAAGGTCTAATCCTCACAACTATCAATTAACCAATGAGAATTTATCTTTCTTATTTGCATTTTAAAAGTATAATATTATGTTTCTAAAACATATATATATGATCTTAAATATTATAAGCAAATAAGTCATTTGATAATATATCTCATTTATAATTAATTTCATTAGTAAATTGTAATATTTGGTTTTATAATTTTAGATTTAGTTTTTATGTTTAAATGTAAAGCTGAAGTGTTGAGTTCATTATTTAGCATTTAAGATTTACAATTTGAGATTTTGGATTTGATATTTAAAAAAATATTAGGTTTATTATAAATGTGGATTTAAATTTTGAAGATCTATATTGATTAATTATGTTTAGGGTTTAGAATTTAAATTTTAAAATATAATTTATTTTTGGAATTTTGAAGTTTGTTATAAATGTTGAAGAATATGTTGATTGTATAGAAAATTTGGACAAAGATATGCAAAATATTGACAAAAACAAAAATGTATGATTTTTATAAGTGTTGTAGGGTATAAGAGTTTGAAGTGGTTTATAGATTATAGTTTGAGTTTATGATACATGATTTGTATTTTGGATTTAGGGTTTGATTTTAAAATTTAGGGTTTGAAGTTTTTGGTTAAGAGTTTGAATTTTGTTATAAATATGTGTTTTATATTTAAGGTATATGGTTTAAATTTGGTTAATGGTTTGAATTTTGGTTAAAGATTTGAATTTTGGTGTACATATGTGTTTTACATTTAGGGTATAGGGTTTGACTTTTGGTTAAGGGTTTGAATTTTGGTGTATATATGTGTTTTACATATAGGGTTTAGAGTTTGAATTTGGTTAAGAGTTTGAAATTTGGTTAAGGATTTGAATTTTGGTATACATATGTCTTTTACATTTAGAGTTAAAAAGTTTGAATTTTGGTGTATATATGTGTTTTATATTTTGGTTAAGGGTTTCAATTAGGTTAAGGGTTTGAATTTTGGTTAAGGGTTTAAATTTTGGTGTATATATGTGTTTTACATTTAGGATCTAGAGTTTAAATTTCGTTAAGGATTTGAATTTTGGTATACATATATGTTTTACATTTAGGGTTAAGGGTTTGAATTTTGGTTAAGAGTTTGAATTTTGATTTACATGTGGTTTTAATCTTTGTCATAAAATAGTAATAATTATGTCATAATTTATGACCAAATGCATAGGTTAGTAAAAAAATATCTACTAGTGATAATATACTTACAAAACTTTTGTAAGTGTGAGTGACTCAAGTTTAGTCACAAAAATTATATAGTTTAGTTACTAAATTTGGTCGTAAATCCGTAATAATATTTGTTACTATATATTTTGTAATGATTACGACACAATTAGTAACCATAATTTGTTACCTTTGATTTAGTCATAATATTATGATGAATTAATAATGTTTTTATAACAAATTAATATTGTCACAAATTTGTATGTAAATTGTTATAATATTGTGACAAAACAATTAGTTATAATTTTTTTGTAACATTATTAACCTTTTTGTAGTGAGAGAGAGAGAGAGAGAGAGAGAGAGAGAGAGAGAGGGGGAGAGAGAGAGGTTAAAGATACAGTTTCTAGCTAAAAAGATAAGATAAAGGATAATAAAGCATAACCTGAAGATAAGATAAAGTTTTTAGCTTAAAACTTGGTCCAATTTTGGATCCCAGTGTTGATCAAAGTCAAACTTGCTGGGAAGGAGGATGATGTCAGCTAACTGTTCGATATGGGACATCGATATGAACATTCCTCTTCTTGATAGTAGTCTTTTCCTCGATACAAGTGCCCGATATTGGGAGCCACCAGAATGCTGGTTTTCGCCTCTTCTTCTGTATCAGGGTAATGCCTTATATGCTCTGATTTCAGCCTGATACTTGACACTCCACTCAGATACAAACTAGAGAAACTTATTCAGCTCCTTTGAGTGTTTCTCCTTGCTTCAGCTTGATCATCAACTTTCCACATGTCCTCTGAAATACACTCCAAATGCAAGAGAATATGCATTTCTAATTATAATGCACTTTAAGTCTACTATGAATTCAAATGGGACACTTTGGACTACAAAATGTATAAAATAATATAAAATGAAGCCTAAAATGATGTAATTACGCAAGCTATCAATCTCAAATATGGTTCATGGTCCTTTAGAGTAGTTGAAACTCTCTCTTGTTGACTTCTTTATTCATTTAGGCGTGCGGTCTGTTTTGAGGGAGTATGGTCAAAGAAACCATAGACTCTTCTCTTCCAACCACGTGAAGAAAGACAGTTTTGATACAACTCTCCCATTTTCTCTTTCCTTGGTCAATTTTCTTTCCTACTTTTTTTTATGTTTGTATTTTTTCTTTTTTTGACTTTTGTTTTCTTTTTCTTCTTAGCTCAAGAATGCTCACTAGTTAGTTCCTTGTGAGGAGATGTTTTTTTGAGGCTGCAACCTGTCATTGTTAATTTTAGAACTCTAGCTACCATTTTAATTCTTTTTTTAAAAAGGAATATGAAAGAGAAACTGTATCTTGCATATCATGTTAGCGTCTAAAATATGAGTTAAATTCGATGTACCTCAAGACCCTTGGTGAGAAGTTTAGATTCATTGGGTTTGTAGTCAACACAAGATACTTCGATGCACCAGAGATTCTGAACTTTTTCTGGTAGGATGGTCCACTCGTACTGTTCAACATAATAAGTCCGGCTTCTTATCGCTGTGAGAATAGTCATTAGGCGTTGAGTTTGAATCGACTTAAACCTAGTAAAGTTCATAGTTTCTGACTAAAGAAATTTTTTGACTCTATAAAAAGACTAATTTTTTTGAAAAATACATGCATAAGACTCATGAAATAAAAGCACATTAGTAACATAAGAAACCCCTCAAACATAAATCAAACTGTCCCCAATTTAAAAAAGCTGAGTGCGTGTAAAAAGATAGTTAATTTAATGTATAAACTTATGAAGACTTACTTGAAAGTGGCATGTGTTGGGTGGGTGGGTGGTTATATGTTGAGCAAGGGACTTCAATGTCCGTTTTAGATCCTTGTGAACCTGCAAGGAATGGGTTCTGAGAAGAACAATTATAAAAAAATCTCTGGGAATGGTTGTAGGAGTTACCACACGATAGAGGGTCAGGGTCGCGGTCAATGGGCTTCTGCCGAGCCATCATCTTTGGTGGCCTGGCCAAGTGGCTTGCTGCCGCTCCATGGCTGGTCACAGCCACGGCCATGGCTCCTTGATCCGGATGATGATGAATAGTGATGAGTGGTGGTGTTGAAGGGGTTTAGATGAAGACTGACTCTTGTTTTATCGTACTTTCTCATGTACTCTATGAAATATTCATCCTATGACTGACCATTGTTGACACTTCGAATGAAAGATGCAAAATCTTCTAGGCTTGTAGGTTTGAAGATTGCATCATCACATTAGAAACACATAATTTGGGCGTTGTATTGCATATCCGGTAATGTGTTCAGGATCCCAAAAGACAGATGTTGCTAGCTTAAATTCTAACGCTATATGAAATATGTAATTGCTTCGGTTAAGTTTTTGGTCTTTAAAGAGGTAAGTTAGTATTTGGAAACTTTTTTCTTCTGGTTTTGGTGAAGAAAGTTGCATCTTTTTCCTTCTCGGAGTTTGTGCAATGTTTCTAGAGAGTCAAAACATTGGATCCTTCTTATTTCTTTCGCATATATGTCTTTTGAATGCCTTGAAGAAGTTGAAATAGATGGTTCATATGCTTAACTTAACTTGGATGAGGTCTTGTCTTGTCTCCCCATTTTAATGCAACAGTAACATACCGTAGTTGTAGAAGTTGATTTGCGGCCTTTGATGCACATACAAGTCCTTGAAGAAGTTGGAGACACTCAAGACTTGATGGGAGTTAAAGGGGAATCAGTTGAGGCGCGGACAGGAGTTTTCGCGTAAGAGGAGGCACTGCAGGATATAACTTTTTCATCCTTTTTAAAAAATGCTTATCTATGTTGTAAGGCACTGCAGGATAGAACATCTTTTTTTCAATGTTAGCAAATGAGACACACCTGTTGCACCAATCCACGATGGCTCTAACTCTAGCTAGAATGGGCCATCCTAAGATGAGTGGTGCAACTCTATCTTGGGGAGTTTTCAAAATCTAGAAGTCAATTGGGATTCTACAATCGCCTATAACGACGGGTAAGTCAATAAGGACTCTTTTAGCCTGTGTGAAGGTTTTATTTGAAGACCTATCTTCATTGTTTTCGCTTGGGCTTTTCCAATGCAAAGCTTCCACACATTTCTTTCGGTCATCACGTTGATATACAAACCGGAATAACCAAGAGCTTTTTTGAATTCAATTCCTCTATTGTTATAGGAGATGAGGAACTGCCCATGGTCTTGCATCTTGTAAAAAACTCGGATTGGACTTCCTTTCATGGCTTGACTGAAGTGATAATATATTCTCTCTAGAGAGTCTTTGCTTTCAGCGAAAATATGTCCTACCATGCATTCAGTGTAAGGTTACTCGAATGTGGCTTCGAGGAAGGGTTTCAACAAGAGTATTGAATTGCTCTAAGTCTTCTGAACTAATGCATCATGGATACCGATTGTACTCCCTTCCTCTTGGGATTTTCATTATATCCTCAACATCCGCACATATGGCTTTTTGATGTGGACTCCTTTTTATTTCTTGCCTTTAGAGTTAATTATGAAGAAGTTCATCAGTATGTACCTCTCCCATGCTTCATTGAACAATACATCATCCGGGATTGTGTTGACTTTGTTGTTGAACTCTAGCAGTCTTTCTCTCAGAATGTGCATGGTGAGGGGTCTTTCCGATTTCCTTTCACTACTCTTTATGCTATAAGGCATTCTGATAATCTCTAGTGATGGTTCCCTGGATGTTCCTGGAGATGGTGTAGCATCGAACATAGTGTATGGTTGAATGAAGTGGCAAGGTGCATTCTTCTCTTCGGC